CCCGCTCACCATGCAGCACCCCTCTCCCATCCGGGAAGCTTCCCAACATCCTCACATGCCCTTCTCTTGTACCTCCCACTTCCCTGCACCCCTCATCTCCTTCCTCCAAACCTGACCTTTCTGTCCATGCACCCAGGGACCGGCAGGCGGCTTCGGGTCCAGACAGCTGAGCTACATCGTCAGTCTAGTCCCCTCCCTGGGCTCAGCTGCCTGACCCCCATCTCTGCTCCCCACAGGCCATGTCATGGTGAATGGCCCCACCACCCCAATCCCTGTCAAGGCCAGCCCCAGCCCCACTGACCCTGTGGTCCCCACAGTGCCTATAGGTAGGTGAGGGACTCCACATCCTGGGGGTGAGGAGGGGGCTATGACCTCAGGTTGGGTGCCAATGCTCCCCCACTGTCTGTCCCAGGCCCACCCCCGGCTGGCTTCAGGGACATCCTGCTGCGAGAGGGGCCTGAGGGCTTTGCCCGAGCAGTGCGCAACCACCAGGGGCTGCTGCTGATGGACACAACCTTCAGGGATGCTCACCAGTCGCTGCTGGCCACCCGTGTGCGCACCCACGACCTCAAGAAGATTGCTCCCTATGCCGCCCACAACTTCAGCAGCCTTTTCAGCATGGAGAACTGGGGAGGTGAGCTAGAGGCCTCAGGGACCCCATTGTGGTGCCAGCATTGTGGCTGGAAGAGCCAGGGTGTAGAGCTGGGAGTCAGTTTGGAGAAATAGTGATAGAGCTGGGGGAGGAGGGCAGGCCCGTGATGGGGGCCTGCACTCACTATGGGGGGGCCTGTACTCACTGCAGGGGCCCACACTCAGGAGGGAGCCCTGTGGGGGGCCCACACTGGGTCCTGCTCTGGGAGGTGGTGAGCCGAGGCTGCACCATCAGGAGGCTCAAGTCTGGAAGCCGCGGGGTGGGGACCTGGGAACCCTGAACTGCAGGCTGTGGGGTGCGGTGCTGAGCTGACTCTGGCCCCCAGGAGCCACGTTTGACGTAGCGATGCGCTTCCTGTACGAGTGTCCCTGGCGGCGGCTGCAGGAGCTCCGGGAACTCATCCCCAACATCCCCTTCCAGATGCTGCTGCGTGGGGCCAACGCCGTGGGCTACACCAACTACCCCGACAACGTGGTCTTCAAGTGAGGCCGCGTCGCGGGAAGGGCAGGGCGAGCTGGGGAGCCCTGAAGGCCCCCACTTGACGTGTGGGCAGGGGAGGCCCCGGAGGGAGGGGCTGGTCCAGGACTCCTCAGCGGGTGCTCCCTCCCCAGCCAGTCCCCACCAGGTCCCCAGCCCAGGACCCCTCTGCTGGTGCTCCCTATGCTGACCACGCAGGCAGGGACAGCGGAGGCCAACCGGGCGCTACCCCTGGGCTCTGCGTCCCACCAGGTTCTGCGAGGTGGCCAAGGAGAACGGCATGGACGTCTTCCGGGTCTTCGACTCCCTCAACTACCTGCCCAACCTGCTGCTGGGCATGGAGGCGGCGGGGGCGGCGGGCGGCGTGGTGGAGGCGGCCATCTCCTACACGGGCGACGTGGCTGACCCCCGGCGCACCAAGTACTCGCTGCAGTACTACCTGGGCCTGGCTGAGGAGCTGGTGCGCGCCGGCACCCACATCCTGTGCATCAAGGTGCCGCCCCCGCCCGGCGCCCCCCCCCGTGCCCCCCAACCCTGCCCGGCGCCCCTCACCGCAGTGCCCTCTGCCCAGGCTCGGTGCCCCTCACCCTAGTGTCCCCACTCCTGCCCAGTGCCCCCCACTCTTGCCCGGCGCCCCCCACCCGCCTCACGCGCTGTCTCCCCCAGGACATGGCGGGGCTGCTGAAGCCCGCGGCCTGCACCATGCTGGTGGGCTCGCTGCGTGACCGCTTCCCCGACCTCCCGCTGCACATCCACACGCACGACACGTCCGGCGCCGGTGTGGCCGCCATGCTGGCCTGCGCCGAGGCGGGGGCCGATGTGGTGGACGTGGCCGCCGACTCCATGTCCGGGATGACGTCACAGCCCAGCATGGGGGCCCTGGTGGCCTGCACCCGCGGGACCCCCCTGGACACAGGTAGGAACCTCGAGCGCCCTCTCCCCACACGGTCCTGGGAGGGGGCGCGGCCTGCCCCTGACCACAGCCCTCTGCAGGGGTCCCCCTGGAGCGGGTGTTTGATTACAGCGAGTACTGGGAGGGGGCCCGGGGGCTGTACTCGGCCTTCGACTGCACGGCCACCATGAAGTCCGGCAACTCGGACGTGTACGAGAACGAGATCCCGGGGGGCCAGTACACCAACCTGCACTTCCAGGCCCACAGCATGGGGCTGGGCGCCAAGTTCAAGGAGGTCAAGAAGGCCTACGTGGAGGCCAACCAGATGCTGGGCGATCTCATCAAGGTGGGCCAGGCCCCGCCCCCACCCCGCCTGCCCCCCTGCCCCCGGCGCCCACCCCTCACCGCTGGACCCCCCTTTTCTTCAGGTGACACCCTCCTCCAAGATCGTGGGGGACCTGGCCCAGTTCATGGTGCAGAATGGGCTGAGCCGGGCGGAGGCCGAGGCCCAGGCCGAGGAGCTGTCCTTCCCCCGCTCGGTGGTGGAGTTCCTGCAGGGCTACATTGGGGTCCCCCACGGCGGCTTCCCCGAGCCCCTGCGCACTAAGGTAGGCGGGGCTGCCGGGTAGGAGCGGGGTGCTGACCTCAGGTCTTCGGGAGCCGGCCTGACCCCTGCCCCTTGCTCCCTGCCAGGTGTTAAAGGACCTGCCTCGAGTGGAGGGGCGGCCCGGGGCCTCCCTGCCTCCCCTGGACCTGCAGGCGCTGGAGAAGGAGCTGATCGAGCGGCACGGGGAGGAGGTGACCCCCGAGGACGTGCTCTCAGCAGCCATGTACCCCGACGTCTTTGCCCACTTCAAGGACTTCACGGCCACCTTCGGCCCCCTGGACAGCCTCAACACTCGCCTCTTCCTGCAAGGACCCAAGATCGCTGAGGAGTTCGAGGTCCGTGGCCCACCCCCACCCCGACTCTGGGCAGTGCCCCCACCTCTCCTGCTTTTGGGGGGATGGTGGGCCGCAGGGAGGGTCAGCAGTGTCTGCCCCGCAGGTGGAGCTAGAGCGGGGCAAGACGCTGCACATCAAGGCTCTGGCCATGAGCGACCTAAACCGCGCTGGCCAGCGGCAGGTCTTCTTTGAGCTCAACGGGCAGCTGCGCGCCATCCTGGTCAAGGACACGCAGGCCATGAAGGTGTGGCCGTGGGCGGTGCGGGCGGTGCGGGCGGCACGGAGTGGTGGGTGCAGGGTGGGCGGTGGTGGGTGCAGGGTGGGCGGTGCGGGCGACCAGGGACAGGATGGGTGGCCTGGCCAGCTCTCACCCGGCTTGTCCGTCCCCAGGAGATGCACTTCCACCCCAAGGCCCTGAAGGACGTGAAGGGCCAGATTGGGGCGCCCATGCCCGGGAAGGTGATTGACATCAAGGTGGCAGCTGGCGCCAAGGTGACCAAAGGCCAGCCTCTGTGTGTGCTCAGTGCCATGAAGATGGAGACTGTGGTGACCGCACCAATGGACGGCACTGTCCGCAAGGTCCACGTGACCACAGACATGACACTGGAGGGGGACGACCTGATCCTGGAGATTGAATGACTCTGGACTCTGCCAGTCATTCTCACCCCCGGCCACTGCCAGCAGCTGTGCCAACAGGGCAGGCAGGGCCACCCTGGAGGTCTCTCTAGACTGCAGGGGCAGCAGAGATCTGGCTTCCAGCCCCTCCTTTCCTGCTGGGAGGCTGCACTCACCTGCTCATCTCTTGCCAAATAAGGGTCCCCCTCACCAGCTGGAACAGGCGTGGAGTGGGCCTGGGATGTGGGGAGGGGCTGGGTCCTGTTCCCGGAGAGCACGTTCAATAAAGCTGTTGTCCCTCCACCCCTGCCTGCGCCTGCCTGGTCCCATGCGTCCCCATCTCCAGGGCCAGGAGGGCTTCATAGCCCTGAAAGGGCCTGCAAGGTGGTGGAGATGCCAGTGGCCTGGTCCCAGCCACCATCGTAGACCTACTCCATGTGTCACAAGTGCAGTGACCGGAAAGTCAGAGCTAACATGAGGCAGCAGAGGGGCAAACCTGGGCTGACGGGCATCAGGCTCCTCAAACACCCTTCTACAGCCCAGGGCCAGCTGCCCAGCTCAGGACGGCACAGCAAATGCAGCTGAGGGGGTCCGTGAGCCCCCGGGATGTGGTGTTGGCAGGTTTTAAAACTACCCCCTGGTCCTAGAAGTGAGGCCTGAGTCTCAGGAAGGCACTGCGCTCAGCTGCAGGTTCCTCTGGGGGGAGAGCGACAGATGTCCAGTGGAGAGCAGTAGAGCCGCCCGGGGACACCCCTCACCCCCTCTTCTCTCATGTGGGTGGTGGGCGGACTAAAGGGAGGTGGAGGCTCCATCACTGGATCAGAGACACAAGGCCTGACCCAGAACTGAGTCACCTGAACGTCAGGGTGAGCCGGGCCTACACCTGCTACCTACCTGCACAGCCTCGGGCACCTGGGCCAGGAGAGGACGCCACACCCAGCGCTCTCCCATCCCCACTCGGGGGTCCCCACTCCAGGGGGGTCTACTGCTAGCTCACCTGCCCAGAGCTGGTGTTGAGGGAAGGTGTGGGCACACCCCCTGGAGTGCTCAACCCAGACCTAGAGGCTGGATCCTACAGGTTCAAGGCTGTGTTACCCAAGTTAAATCTCTTTAATATCCCGATATAAAGTCCTGATGCAAAAAGAATGCGAAAACCCTGGGAAGGTGGGGGGCGGTCACAGCTTCTACCCCCGAGCAGCTTTGCAGAGACTGAAGGAGCAGAGGGCCTCACAGGAGGGTCACACGAGGGGCATCACAGCTGCGGGACCGCCCGCCCCTCCCTCCAGCTGTTCCCTGGTCCCTCTGAGCGGGGACGTCTGGCTCCTCATCTTGGTCCCTGGGAGTCAACTAGCTCTGGCTTCAATCCCCTACAAAAATTCCTGAGATCTTGGGGACCCTGGCCAGCCCTGCCCCAACAGGGCATCCAGGCGGGCAGGCTGGGTGCCCTTAGAGTCCATGGTGGGGGTGCAGCATGGGTCAGGAACACAGGGGGGCCTCTGAGTCTCCTGCCCGCTGCAGGAGTGCGCACAGGGGCAGGCTGCCGTAGAGCTTGGGGTCTGTGAGGGGCTGCAGCAGGAGCAGGAAGAGTCCCACGCCCAGGGCGTAGCCGGCCAGCAGGGGCCTCCGCTGTGGGTGCTCCAGGGCGGCGCACACGGCAGGGAAGCCCATGTAATTGCAGAAGGAGTGACAGAGGACAGGGCCAATCAGGTGTCCTGGGAGGGAGACAGCAGCGACTCAGGCCAAACTGAGCTGCTTGGACCTCCCAGGACTGGGGCCCCTAGACCCCTGAAGCAGAAGGTCCCTGACCCACTCCCAGCCACCCACCAGCTCAACCCTTGTCTGGATGTGAGCCCCGAGCCCGCAGCAGCAGGCGGACCCACCTGTGCGGATGAAGAGGAAAGCCGTGTAGGCTCCGAAGACGGCGGTGTAGGAGAACTGGAACGCTGGGGATAAGGCTGGGAGTGACACACCCGCACACCTGTCCCCACGCCCACCCGGCCAGCCAGGCTTCCTGGCCCCCCACCAAGGCCGGCTCCGTCCAGCACCCCAGCCCACATGGGCTCCCGGGGCTCACCCGCAGACAAGAAGATGCTTCCCATGCTGCTCTGGCGGAAACGCAGCTGCTCAAATATGTGGTGGAAGTGGGCTGCAGGGCCGACAGAGCGGTGTCACAGCCCTGCCCTGCCCAGCCCTCCCTTCAGACCCCCGCCCCTCCTGCGTTGAGCCTCATGCCAGGGACTCACCGACTCCAAAGAACAGGGGGCAGGTGAACACGGCGGGGCCCAGACCCGTGCACGGGGCCAGCATGGGCAGCATGCAGGCGCGGAACACCAGCTCCTCCGTCAGCGGCGCGATCACTTGGTTCCGGAGCCAGCGCATGTCCGTGAGGCAGCGGGCCCAGGAGCGGGGTGCTACGAGGGGTTCAGAAAAGGCGGCGGGTGACCAGCCCTGCACAGCAAGGCCCTGCGGGCTCTCCTCCCACAGCCTTTCACTGGGCAAACTTGGGTTAGAAAGCAGGACTGAGAAAGGGGAAGGTCATGCTCCCAGCCAAGGACACCAGACGGCTGGAGCGGAATGAGGCATTAGGAGACGCTTCAGTAGGAGATGCTTCAGCAGGAAATGCTAACAACCGGCTGGGGAAGCTTGTCCCAGGCCGCTCTGGGCTGGGAGGCAGAGGAGGACCGCAGGGACCAGTGCTCTCGGCCACACGGACCTCCTCAGAGGTCAGCAACCAGTGCTCTGAGGCCACCAGCTCTGCGTGTCACAGCCGAGGAAACACCCGGAGATGCCGCCTGTCTCATGTCCGCCCTGTGGGAAGCCTGTGTCCACTTTTCCATGGCCCAGAGGACTCACCCAGGACAACCTTCAGCCCATCAGCCAGGTCGCAGGGACAGTCCATAGAGAGCTGCATCAGCGGGCCCAGGAAAAGGATCTGGGGGCAGACAAGTGGGGAGACTGCCTCCGTGATCCTTCGCCCCACGCGGGCGGCCAGCGTCTGGGGTTTCCACACATGCACACGCGAGGGCCCCGCAGTGCCGCTCATCAGCCCAAAGCCAGGCACAATCATGTCTGGGGGTGCGGAGCCTGCAAAGGTTCTGGGTGCTGGGGTCCCCGGGCTGGACTACTCACCATGGTCAGCAGCAGTGGCAGAAGCGCTGCTGGGAAAATGCCCTCCAGCCTGAAGCCCATCAGGGTGAGCAGGGATGTGCCTGGCTGAGCCACAGGAAGGGGGGGCATCAGTCTCGCGCCCGCCCGACACCCCGAGGCGCGCCCGCCCTCGGCCCCGCCCCCTCGCACCTGGATGCCCGTGAGCTCCCTCCAGAGCAGCACGCACAGGGGCGACAGGCTGGACACCACCAGCACGCTGGTGAAGCGCCGCTTGATGACGGCGGGGTGGTCCCTGCGGAGGGCACAGTAAGTTGGGGGGCCCAACCCGCGGCCCGCCCCGGCTCCGCCCGCAGCCCCGCCTCGCGGAGGCGCGGGTCCAGGTCGCGCGCAGCCCCCGCACCTGGGCAGCTCGCTCTTCCAGACGTAGAGGCTGCCCACGTACGAGCAGGCCAGGCTGAGGCAGGAGAACACCGACACCCAGCAGCACAGCCCGGGGCCCGGCCCGCCCAGCGCCGCCGCCTCGGGCTGCCGCTCCGGCCGCGACACTGACAGCAGGCGAAGCCCGTCCCCGCCCAGCGCCGCCATCGCGCCCGGACCGCGGACCCGGCGCGGCGCGCACCAGTGACGCGCCCCGCGCCTGCCGGAAGCGCAGTGACGTCAGACGGCGAGGCCCCGCCCCCGGACACGGACTCGCGCGCGCGGGTGCAAAGCGACTTTATTGACACGGACGCGGGGCCCGAGGCGGGGAAGGCGGTTCAGGGGCCGGCGTCAGCCACTCGGACAGGTTGGCGACCTCCTGCAGCCACAGCGCGTCCTGCGGGGAAGGGCCGCGTGAGGACCCGCGGGGCGGCCACTCCTCCCACCCGCCCGGCACTGCGCCCTGGTACCTCCAGGCCCCTCCCGGGACCCGCGCCGCCCGGGGTTCGCTCTCGCCCCGCCCCGGTCTCCTGGTCGCTGGGACCCCGGGCGACGGGCTCCGGGCGGCAGCGGGAGGCCCGCGGGTCGCCCGTGTCCGTCCTCCGCCTCTTGCTCTCCGCCGGCCCGCGGGCCTCTAGGAGAAAAGGCGCTTGTCACTCCGCTGCCCGGCGGGCGCTCGACCGGACAAGGGCGCAGGAGGCCGGGGTTCAGCTCCCGCGTCCGCCTCGGGACCTGTTCTCAGCACCCGTCGGGGTCAGACCCCGCGGCTCCGGGGACCAGGCCGAGGCCCCCAGCTGGTTTGGGAAGGGGCCCCTGGGACGTGCCGGCCCCGCGGCCACCCTGCTGGTGCCGGAGCCGCCGAGCTCTGCCCTCTCTCCCGTCAGCGCAGCTTTAAGCCCAGTTCGCCTCCACCGGCGGTTCCTGCCTGGGCTGCAGGGCGGGGCACAGCCGCAGGGGCACTGGGCTGGGTTTGAGTTCTGGTTCTGCGGTTTATTAACGGTACATCCCTGCCTGGTTCCTTATCTGTAAACGGAGAATACGAACTAGGCTGGTGACGGTGAGGTTGGCGGTGTGGACGGCAGTCGGTTCTTGGGACATCTGGCCGATCTGTACGACTGCAGCACTGGATTCTGCAGCCCGTCCCAGTCTAGTCTCCAGAACGCTCTCGAGTGGTCATCTGTGCCCTAGCGCTGCTCAGTCAGGGTCCACTGCGGTCGTGGGTCTGGGTTACACCTGGCACGCTGCTGTGTGAACTGTTTACACTGGCACCTGCGGGGCCGTGCAGGTGCGCGCTCGCTGGCTGCGGCCGTTTCCAGCCTCCCTCACTCAGCCGCTGCAGCCAAGGGTGTTGTAGGGGCGGGAGGAGGGGATACACAGAGGAGACTTAAGCAAGGTCACCGTCAGGCACACCCACCATCGAGTGACAACAGGAGCACTGGGCAGCGTCTCCAGAGCCCTGTCTGGGGACAGCAGCCGGTCAGTCCCGCCTGACCCCAGCTGGGGGCAGACAGCCAGGTCTTTTCTCCCTCAGAACTGTTGGTGGGTTCAGACCTCCAACCTTCTGGCTAGCAGCCACGTGGTTCCATCACCGCCACCAGGGCTCCAGTGGGCTGCTGAGTCTTCCTGCCCCCACACCCGCACCCCATGCGGTTCCCTCTAACTGCACCGACCGCACTAGATGCCCTCCGCCGCTCAGAGCAGCTCTGCCCGGGGATTCCTGCTGCTCCAAAAGCCCCCAGTGGCAGTGCCCCCGCCACCTCCAAAGGGCCAGCATGCAGGAGTGAGCAGCTAAGACCGGGAGGCCGGGTTTCCATTTTCCCACCCAGAGCTCACCTGGAAGGTCCTCCGGGTGGACACTTTGTGTGTCCTCCTCCTCCTCGGTGTCTGGGGCCACGTCATTTTTCTTGGGGGGCAGCTGGTTGGAAATCAGGAGAGCTGAGTGAGTTCCACAGAAGCCTAGATGTGCCCTTGCAGGACGGGAGGGTGGTGAGCCAGCTGTCCCGGCTTCAGAGGCTGCCCCCTCTGACCAGGAGTGCCCATCTCCTGGTTCATAGCAGCTTCATTTCCGCGTCTGTGGGGTCCGTCCTCTCTTCCTGTCCCTCGGGGACTGAACCATGTCCCCCAGGCTCCTGGCCATCACCATGCTGTGATGATGTCTCTTCTCTGCCCCCTGGCATGTCAGCACTGCAGCCAGCAGAGCCCCTCCCAGAGCAAGTATCAGCAAAACACAGAGGGATGTCCCAGCTGGAAGCCATTTCTATACTAGCTGTGTGAGGTTGGGCAAGTTTACTAACATCTCTGAGCCTCACTTATCTGTAAAACCTGGTAGTCCAGTGTAGCCATGCAAAGGGCGGGCACACTCTACTACATAGACCAAGCACAGTGGTGCTTACTATAACCCAAGCCCCAGCCCCCAGCTTCTATCGCATGTCCTGCACAGAACAGGTTGTTGTTGTTACGTGCTGTCGAGTCACTTGTGACTCATAGCGACCCTATGTACAAGAGCCCTAACCGTAGCAAAATAAAAGCATTCATGTTTCAAAGGACGGGGAGAATGTGGGGCCACGGAGCCATCACCCCTGCTGGTGGGAGTGCAGTGCAGCACAGCCAGACTGAGAACAGACAGTTCCTCAAAAGGTCAAACACAGGGGTGGGGGGTGGGGTGTGTGTGTGTGTGTGTGTGTGTGTGTTAGTTTCTATTAAGTAGGTCAGTTCTACCTTTCTGATGTGAAATAGGAACTGAAGTGGATGGTCCTATCACAGAGCCAAATTCATTGGGAGCTCTGGTGGCTTAGTGGTAAGAAGTTGTGCTGTCAACCCTAAAGCACATGGTTCAAATCCAGCTTCCAGAGAAAGGTGGGCAATCTCCTGTGAAATGTACAGCCTCTTGGGGGGGAGGGGGGGTCAGCCAGGAGCCAGATTCTTACCTTGCAGTTTTAGGCTGCAGCCACTGGGTGCCACCCTTGTGCCATTAACAAGTCAACAGAGCAGGGAAAAGCTGACTCGTGACAGTCCTGTATGGTGACAGTGTCACCACCCTGGCAGCCAGGAGCACAAGTGAACACTGCACTTACATTTAGTGGCTATGGCTCTGGTCAGATGATCGAAGTTCTCTAAACATGTTTCCATCCGGAAAATGACAGCTACCTCAGAAGATGCCTGTGGAGACCACAGTGGCTAACTTGGTGCCATTTATGGATTCAATGAAAATCCCTTCTCCTAAGACCTGCAACTACTGGATAAGATGTTGTGCTCATCTGGCCATCTGCCAAGTTAAATGGGTTATGAATGGTCCTGAGGCTGTGAGCCATCACTATAGCAACAACAAGGAACAAAGGAGGTCAGATCATTTCTACTTAAGATCACACTGGTTAGCAGAGGCCCAAGAAGCGGAACTAAGAAGCTGGAGCATTCTGAGGCCCCCAAGCCCCCCGTTCCCCCATACACTGGGCCCCACAATAATGGCACCCACCCACTGGCATCTATTCTAGAACCACGACCCATTGATAGTTCCTCATACCTGCGTGCACAGTCATGCGGGAAGTGATGCCACTGTATTTCAAATCCTAGCAGAGCTATCTGGTTGACAGGTTTCAGTGCAGCTTTCAGAGTAAAACAGACCATGGAGAAAGAGCCAGTAACCAACGACTAGCCAGTTAAAACCCACCAATGAGAACACTATGGTTGGCCTCACTGTGAGGGGCAGGTCCCCATGATAGGGGAAGTCAGGAAGGACAAGGGAGACCCCGGTGAGGTGGGCTGGCCTGGTGGTGATGGTGGCAGCGATGTAGCACCAGACAACACTGCTTTGTGTCTTAGGGAAGGGTCACCATGAGTCCTAAAAACCTGGAGCTATATATGGTCACTAACTTGCCTAAATAAAGATCCTATGAATATCTACACAAACACGACTTTCTTCCCCTGGGGTAAATATCTAGGAGTAGAATGGTTAGGTTATATGATGGGTGTACAGTTAACTTCTTTTTTTATTGCTCGTGTGTGTGTGTGTATACCATCCAATCAGATCTGACTGGTACAGGAGGAGAATGCCCCTCCTTCTCCAGCAGAGCATCTGATGGATTCAAACCATGTACCTCTGGGATTGCAGTGCAGCTTCCTGCCACAAGGCCACCAGCGCTCCCTTACTGTTAACTTCTTAAAGAAACTGCCACGAGCAATTCTACTCCTATGCAGATAATACCTGAAGACCAGAACCCATTTAGACGCTGTGCTCCAGGTTTTTAGGACTCATGGTGACGCTTCCCTGAGACACAAAGCAGTGTTGCCCGGTGCTGCATCGCTGCCCCCATCACCGCCAGGCCAGCCCGCCTCGCCAAGGGTCTCCCTTGTCCCTGCTGCTCACTGCAGCACCTTCACAGCACCCAGAGGGACACCCGAGTGTCTTCTCTCCACACCTACAATCTGGATGCTGAGCAAGTATGTTGAGAAGCTAGACTTTATGAAGAAAAATGTGGCATCAAGATTGGAGGAAGATTTCATCAACAACCTGCTTTACGCAGACAATTTGCTAAAAGAGGAGGATTTAAAGTGTTTGCCGAAGATTATCAGTCTCCAGCCTTCAATATGGATTACATCTCAATATCTAGAAGATAAAAATCACCACCGGCCAACAGGCAGCATCACCAAAGACAAAGGATTGAGATTGTCAATGATTTTGTCCTATTTGGATCCACAGTCAACATCCTTGATACCATCAGTCAAAAAATTAAAAGACTACATTGAGAAAGTCTGCTGTCAAGGACCTCTCTAAAGTACTAAGGCACAGTGATGATCGTTTAAAGACTAAGGTGCAACTGATTCAGGTCATAGTCTTTTCAGTCACTTCCTATAAATCTGAACGAACAGATATGTCTTGGATAAAGTACAACCAGAGAGCTTCCTAGAGGCAAGGACAGAAAACCTTCATCTTCCATACTCGGGACGTGTTGTTAGGAGCAGCTGCTCCTTGGAGAGGGACATCAAGCCTGGAAAGATGGAGGGTCAGGGACAGAAGAAGACCCTCAGTGAGACAGACTGACTGAGACGGCAGCAACGAGCTCAGGTGTGTCAGCGATGAGGAAGAGGGCACAGGGCTCAGGTCTGTTGTTCATAAGGTTGCAGTGAGCTGTACTCAGTTCGACAGCATCAAACAACAGTCATCAACAGGAGAATAAACAACATGTGCTGAAGCCATACAATGATATATTCACTCATAAAGAAAAATTAAGTCCCTCCCGTTGATTGCCTATGACTCATAGTTGACCCTCTAATAGGTTCTCAGGGGAGGCTGTCTTTCCCCCATGGAGCAGCTGATGGATTTGAACCATCTGCCTTTGGTTTGGCAGCATAATTCTGTACCCACAAGGCCACCAGAGCTTCCTGACACATGGTATGGATAAACCTTGAAAACATTCTGAAGAGTCAAATAAGCCAGATACAAATGGATAATGTAGAAGTGAAAAAGTTCTGTAAGGAGGGGAGGAAAGAATCGCCATCAGAGTCCTATGAGGCAGAGGTCAAGATATGCCTCCTAATCTTTTTACCAATTTTTTCCACAGTTATCCTGCTGACATACAACTTCTCTGCTGAGTTGGATAATTCTCTGCAGTGGCCACACATACTGTATGGTTAAGGGTCTTATTAAGGAAGTAACAGGTTACAATTCAGCATCAGGAATGACTCAGGATACATTTCTGTGACCAGAGCAGCCTCTTCTCTGCTGTGCCCCATGCAGGCCCCTCTCTGGCCCCCAACCTGTGTTGTTATAAAGGCCTACCAGTAAGTGCCTGGGGTACTGCACTTAACCAGTGAACATCAAGCCAAAGGTACTCAGTTCCCTACCTCCACGGGTGATCACACGCATTGTGGTCCCCCTGCCATCTTGTCCAGCCTCACGGTTCTGCTGCCACCGTTTCACTGTCATGGGTTCTCATCTTGAATCACAGCTCTGTCTCCCGGGTCTAGGTGCTCAGTTCAGGAACCCTAGCATGCACTCCACTCCCGAAGGGTCTCCACTCCCGTTTCTTCTTGCTGATGGTGAGGCCCTTCCTTTCCATTTCTAGAATGGCTCATTTTAAGCCCAGAGGAACAACAAAAGTGACCAATCCCCTTGCAAGGGTTCTAGCCACTGTAATTCCATGGCCCCACTCCTACAATGAGGCGGACAGACACAGGGACCATATAATGGGCTCGAGCATGACACAGATCATGAAGAGGGTACAGGAGACAGCAAGGTTCAGATCCATGGCTCACAGGGTCACCGAGTCAGATGGTATGATGGTACCTAACAACAACAATTCCCATCTTTTTTTTTAATTTTTTTAATTATTATTTTGTGTGTGTGTGTACTGTCAAATCGGATCTGACTAGTACAGGAGGAGATTGTCCCTCCTTTTCCCGGCAGAGCATCTGGTGGATTCGAACCGTGTGCCTCTGGGATTGCAGTGCAGCTTCTTGCCACAAGGCCACCAGAGCTCCCCTACAATTCCCATCTTATTTGCATTATTAGCAAGCTATCCAAGCAAGAATCGATGACTTTGAGTTGTGGTGTGAGAGAAGAGTACTGAATATCCCATGGACGGCCAAGAGAACAAACATATACGTCTTGGAGAAAGTGCAGCCAGAGAGCTCTTTGTCTTACGTACTTCATGCATGTTGCTATAAGGGGCTATTCCCTGGAGAAGGCCAGGATGCTCAGAAGGGCAGAGGGTCAACGAAGGAGAGGAAAACCCTTAATCAGGTGGATTGACACAGTCACTGCTGTAAGAGGCTCTAGTGTGTCAGTGTGAAGATGACTCAGGATAGGACAGGGTTCTGATCTATTGTTCAAAAAGTCGCTATGGGCCATACTCGATGGTACCTAACAACAAAATAGCATCCAGTCCTCTTGGTGGGCTATAATAAGCACCTTACTTACTGTCTTACCCAGTCACCTGGAGGGAGTCACAGGACCATGGCAAAGAAGGCCACACAGAAAAGCTCCATAACAGCGATCCTCTCACCCTCAGCCTTCAGGCTGACACAGTGGCTGAAATAATGGCCTTGAGCGTGTGGAGACAGGATTGTGCGGAATCAGGCCAGGCTTTGTCCCACTGTGCAGGGTCAGCATGGAGGTTGAAACTGACTTGATGGCACTTACCAACAACAACAATAATTTACCACAAATACGGATTCTGTTTGCATGGAGTACCTAGTAAAGGCAAGTACATAGAGACCAAGATGGTACAGTGGTTACCAGGGCCCACGAACCTGGGAAAATAGAAATGGCTGCTAAGGAGGGCTGAGTTTGTTCAGGGATTTAGAAAACATTTGGTCATAGGAGGTAGTGAAGGTTGCAAAATTTGAGTAATACAATTAATGCCACTGAATTATGTACTTAAAATTGCTAAAATGTTTACCATAAAAGATTTTTAAAACCCAAACCCAAATAAACAACCACCTTCCGAGCTGTCTTCCTAAGTGGTTTAGCATGGGTCCATGAGGCGCTCCCGGGGAGCCCTGGAAACCAGTGGAGGGTCAGTGATGAATCCAAACTGCTTCACAGCATTTGAGAGGGGGATGTGAAGTAGTATCTCATCACAGACAAGGGTTTGCATTCATCTAATGGCAAACGTTGGAGCTCGGGTGGTTTAGCGGTCAGGAGTTACACTGCCAACCCAAAGTCACATGGTTTGAATCCACCAGCTGCTCCTTGGGAGAAAGATGGGCAATCTCCTCCCATACAATTACTTTTCTTTGAAAACCTGCTTGAGGTTCAGCTATGAGTCAGTTCCAACTCACAGGTACACAACAACTAATTATGTTGAGCATTTTTTCATGTGCTTCTATCTGTGTATCTTTTGTGAAGTGTATGTTCATATCTTTTGTCTATTTTCTAACTGAGCAAAATTTAACAATAGAATTCTATCATATCATTATTAGTACAATAGAAACTAAAATGCTTGACACTTTATCTTATTCAACCTCTTGTTAGGTCGGCATCATTCCCACTTTACTGATGAGGAAATTGGCATAGAGAGGTTAAACAACTCCCATAATAATGTCACGCAGCTGGTGAGTGGCTCGAGTAGAATTAGAGCCGTGACTGGCTATGCTCTTAGCCACTGTGCGATATTACGGTTCATGAAGTTTCCAAGTACGGCCTTCCTTGTTCTGCCTGAAGGCAGTTAACTCGCCCTCCTCAAGATTTCTCTCCATCAACACAGGACACTTCCAACCAAATTCTGTTTCTTACTTCACACCTACCTGCTTTACCTCACCGGCGCAGTCTTGAAGAATTCGGTGATGGGCGATCTTGTTAAAGGCTTTGTGCAGTTTGATCCCAAACTCTTGAGTGTCAGCTGCCTAAAATGGGCCAGAGAGAATACACTCAGGTCCAGCACTGGAGGCCAAATGCAGTAAGCTCTCAGGAAGCTAACGAAGGGAGAGCATGGAGCCAACAGAGGCTGGGAGGGATTTCCTTAGTCTTTCAAAGCAGAAGAAGAAAGAGAAGGCATTGGACAGCTGACCTGAGAGGGGCTACCACAGTCCATCAGTGTCTTCCCATTTCTGCCAACTAAGCAAGACCTTTCACACAAGGTCCTTATTTCCCCTTCTCTACAGGAGAAAACCAGGCCGGACAGGCGCTGTGAAAGGCTTAGGGAAACCACTCCGCTCTACAGTAAGTTCCAGAGAGCAGAGGTTGCTCTACATGGCTAAGGCTGCTATGAGGACACCCCCTTAGAAGAGTGTTCATCCCTTGGTCAGCTTTCTAGGGAGGACAGGAGTAGATCAATATTGTTTGTATCCACAAAGAATGGGAAACAACCCCCTACTTGTCAATAACACCTGTAGGAGGATCGAAGCAGTCAGTGGGTCTCTTGTGCACTGACAGTACAGTGTTTGCCTTCTTTTTTTAAAATAAAATTATTTTTAATTGGTATTTTAATGAACATTTACAGAATATTACTTTGTTGTTATTGAGAATGTACACAGTAAAGCATGCAGCAATCCAACCATTTCAAAAGGTGTGATTCTGTAACACCGATGGCATGCTTGGTGTGTGGGATCCCTGTCTCCTCCTTTCAGAGCTGTCATGTAACGACCTCTGAGGTTCCTAGGAACCTTTTGGGTCTCTGTGGTCACTTTGATTCCATATATTTAGATCTTACAAGGATATAAGTACTTGCTGAAGATAGTGTGTGTGTGTGTGTGTGTGTGTGTGTGTGTGTGTGTGTGTAAAATTTGTATTTAGAATTAGCCAGCTGGGCTAGTTTAAATGATCCCAATTTT